CTGTAGGTAGAGCCAGCTCCGCACGTGTGTGAGCGAACGTGATAACCACTACCCCACGGAAACATGGTCGCTATTACAAGTGTGGCCTACAGTTGGTATTATTTTCTCCAAAGGAAAATGATTATGTTCACTTTTATCCATTTCATCGTTTGTTGCTGTTGTGTAGCACATTAATTTTCTTGGTGCAGTGAGTCCTGTACCAGCTGATTTAGCTTCATAGAAGGATTGTTTTTTAAACCATGATATTCTAATTGTTTCATGTCATTACAAACCTCTGATCTCTGTGGCTCCAGCCACACGGGCCGCCTTGCCATTCTTTAGACACACACAGCATGGCGACACGTGTTCCTGTTTTCTCTCCAGAGTGTTCTTCCCACACACACGATCACAGGGCTCCCTCCCACCACCTCAGGCACCGCTCACCTCCCCAGAGTCCTTTCAAGGCTGTCACATTTAAAATAAGGTCCTTTGCCCGGCCGGTGTGGCTCAGTGGTTGGGCATTGACACATGAACCAGGAGGTCACAGTTTGATTCCCAGTCAGGGCACATGGCCTGGTTGTGGGCTCGATCCCCAGTAGGGGACCTGTAGGGGGTATGCAGGAGGGAAATGATCAATGATTCTCTCCATCATTGATGTTTCTATCTCTCCCTCTGCCTTCTTCTCTCTAAAGTCAATAAAATATAATAATAAAAGCATAATATGCTAATTAGACTGGACATCCTTCTGAACCTTCCAGACGAAGCCCAGACCCAGGTGCCTGCCAGAGGCCGGAGGGAAGCCCAAATCCCGGGTGCAAGAGGGAAGCCAGTGCTGGCAGCTGGGGGAAGGAAGGCCTACTCTCTCTCTCTTTTTTTAAAATATATTTTATTGATTTTTACACAGAGAGGAATTGAGAGAAACAGAGAGTTAGAAACGTCGATGAGAGAAATACATTGACCAGCTGCATCTTGCACACCCCTCACTGGGGATGTGCCCGCATAGAAACATCAATGATGGAGGGAATCATTGATCATTTCCCTCCTGCCCTTGACCGGAATCGAACCCAGGACTTTTTAGTCCACAGGCCGATGCTCTATCCACTGAGCCAAACCGGTTTCGGCAGGAAGGCCTCCTCTTGCACAGACTTTATGCATTGGGCCTGTAGTAAAAAAATAATAAAATAAAATAGGACCCTTTCTGCTCTCTCTCCCTTTAGACAGCCTTGTTTTCCTTTATACCACCTGACATTATATTAGAATTTTGTTTATAGATATTATTTATTATCCTTCCTTAGATTGCAGGCTCTGTGAGGTAAGGACTTGTGTGTTTTTTTCTTCACCGTGTCCCCAGTATTTTTTTTAAATATATTTTTATTGATTTTTAACAGAGAGGAGGAGAGAGGAATAGAGAGCTAGAAACGTCGATGAGAGAGAAACATCGACCAGCTGCCTCTTACACACCCCCTACCGGGGATGTGCCCGCAACCAATTACATGCCCTTGACCAGAATCGAACCTGGGACCTTTTAGTCCGCAGACCGACGCTCTGCCACTGAGCCAAACCGGTTTTGGCTGTCCCCAGTGTTTTTATGAGGGTCTGGCACCTACAAGGTGCTCAGTATATGGGGAATGAATGAATGAACGAACAAATAAGTAACTTGAGGCTCAGATAGCTGGCTTTACCCTTGATTCCATTTACTGGGTTATGTTTTATACCTTTTTATTTTTATATTGGTATGTAAAATCTGGATTTTTAGTGTTGGACGGAAGCTCTTTTGATGTAATTCCATCCAATCCCCTCCCCAGTGTAGTGATCGTGCCTTCTGCTGAGAGGAGTGTTCTGAGTGGCAGGACTTCAAAGTCTTGCCAATAAATTTCATTTAAGTTTCTTCACATTTATCACTTTCCTAGTCCAAGTCAATTAAATGTCTTCTCCAACTACCTACACTAACACCATTTCCTGTGGCCTCTTTGTCAGAGTAGATGTAGCGTTAAGTGTTAAGTCCAGAAATACAGTGATGCTGAAGTGGGGTTTTTATTGTTTGCCTGAGAATTGTCGATAGTAGAAAATGCTCAGCAAAAGGAGCAGAAGCCATACCAATGTTTTTCTGAATCTGTTGTTTTCCCCACTCCGTGGGGACGTGGGCTTTATTCTCTTTCTAGATTGTCGGACTGCACACCAACATTGACTTCCTCCTCAGGCTGGCTGGCCACCCGGAGTTCAAAGCTGGGAACGTGCACACTGACTTCATCCCTCAGCACCGGGAAGAACTGCTGCCTAGTCGGAAGGCCACAGCCAAAGAGTTCTTATGCCAGGCAGCTCTGGGCCTCATCCTCAGGGAGAAAGCCATGTCAGATGTTTTCCAAATTCAGACACAAGGTATGGAATGCATTTCTGTTCCCCCTGCTTATCAAGATTTTATAAATAACTAGAGGCCCGGTGCACGAAATCCATGCACAGGTAGGGTCCCTAGTGGCGGCTGGCCTTCCTGTGTTTCGCACCGCCCTCTGGTGGTCAGCACACGTCATAGTGAGCGATCGAATTCCTAGTTGGTCGAACTCCCAAGCGAACCATTTCATATTGGGCTTTTATATAGATAGATAGATTTTTGAACTTACATTTTTTTCTTTCTCTTTATGCCACTCTTTCCTCCCTTTCTTCTCTCAGTCATTGACACCATCCTCTGCTAATGTGACTTTTAGGATGAAGAGAGCTCTTCACATATTCTGGATACATTCTATAAACACTTTGAACCCTTTAGGCATTACTTAACTTAGGGGTGTCGAACTCAATCAGAGAAGGGGCCAAAATCTAAAATCCAGCCTAAATCGCGGGCCGAATGGTTTACTGAACAGTCATAAACTGTCATTGTGATGGAAACGCAGCGGAGTGCAGTGATGACAGCGCGGTGCGGGCCACATTGCAAGGCCTGGCGGGACGGATTTGGCCCGCGGGCCTTGTGTTTGACACATGTGACTTAACTAATCACCTAACAACATAGAGATGGATCTCTTTTCAACCAAACACCAGTGCTTGCTGCAGCCCATGCCAATCCCTTCCAACTTCTTTTACCCACCACTCCCTGTGGCCTGCTTTGTTGTAGCCTCTGTACCAGCAGCAACCTCCCGCTCCAGGAGGCGCTCCGATTCCGCTGGGTTACCCATGATTTATGGTTATTTCCTCCGCTCTTTTTTTATTCTGTAATCAAATTTCTGACTAACTAGAGACCTAGTTACTCCATCATGTCATAGAGTCAGAGCTTGGGAAAGTCAGGCAGAGGTTCGTCCTGACTGCCTGCCTCAGCATCTCACTAAGTCAGTGCCCAACTTCCTAATGGCCTGGAAGCTGGGAACTCATGATGAAAATTCACTAGCTTATTACAGTTTCTGTCAGTTCTCCTTTAAACAGTTCTTCCCTCTAAATTGAGCAAAACCTGAGCTCTCCCAAACTTGGCTCAATAAGATTTATTTATGCTGACTTTTGAAGCAAATAGAAAAAAAAAGAAAAAAAAAGGAATCCACTTATCTCTTCACTATTATTAGAATTATTATATTATTATAGGATGCTATTTTTAGGATCATTAATTTCTAGATTCAATCAAGAAAGTTATATTGAAAGCTTAAAACACACAATTACCTCTTTAGGAGATTTGTGCGCTCTCTCCTCCTTTTGTCCTGTTACATTACATGAAATGCATCTAAGTGTGCTCCATACAGCATTCCTAAGCCTGCCTGTTCTTGGCCTTTTTAGAATGGAGAATCTTCTTACTCTTACCTCTCTTTAAAATCTATAACCAGCACAGGTAAATTGCTTCAGTTTAGTCATGCTGTAGCTGCTGGATATTGTCCAGCAGAGGATGTACACTCCAGCCCCTCTAGGCGGACCAGTAACATAGGAGAATGAGAGAGGCCAGGTGAAAGGAGGATGATGAGAGGTATAGATCTGGGCGACCTGGAACGCAGCAGCCCCATCCAAAGGGATGGCCACAGCGCAGCTCATGCTGTCAGAGGATGAGAGTTTAGGCTGCACATAGTCTCACTTTCTGAGAGAAGCTGGGATTTTTCATAGGAAATCTCCTGAGATGTAAATCGAAATACCTCACTTAAATTTAAAGCAATGAGAAGAACAATGAAAACATAAAGGAGCTGCCAGTATGGGACCTGTGCTCCTGTTTTCTTTTGTAAGGTATGAATTTAGTAGGCTTGATGTTCGTAAATTTGCTGTTGAATTTTCTTTTAGATCAATATTCTCCTTTTGCATCCAGCAGCGGAAGAAGACTGAATATTTCTTACACCAGAAACATAACTCTTAGGGATGGTGAAAACAGTGAGTAATGTTTTATTAGAAGGGAAATGTGCTTTATAGAAATAGATCACATTTACCTGGGGGAAAAGTGGGTTCAACTCAGCCACAATCATTCAATTATATATTTTAAAAGATCCCTGGCCTAAACATTGTGAGGTATTATGCCAAAATGATAGAATTGATTTGCTCTGGGTGGTAGAGTTGATTTTTTTTTCTTCATTACACTTTTTCTGTATCTTGTAAATATTCTAAAAATATTTATAAAACATACATAGCAAAATGACTGAAGTGAAATTTGCCAACATTTTAGTGAGGTTACCACTGGGTGGTGGGATTTGAGGCAGTCTCTCTATCTCTCCCCCGCCACCCCCACCCAAGCTTCTGTGTACTTTCTTTGTTTTGTATTTCTTCAGTGAGAATGCAGTACTTTTATTTACTTCTTACTTAATTATTTATTTATTTTGCCCTTCTTTTCCCTCCTGAGAATGTATTACTTTTTTTCTTAAATCCTCACTGGAGGATATTTTTTCCATTGATTTTTAAAGAGAGTAGAAGGGAGAGAGGAAGGAGGGCAGAGAAAGAGGGAGACGAGGGGGGTGGGGGGGAGAGAGAGAGAGAGAGAGAGAGAGAGAGAGAGAGAGAGAGAGAGAGAGAGAGATAACAGCGTGAGAGAGAAAGACATTAATTGGTTGCCTCCCACATATGCCCAACCAGTACTGAGGCTGTGAATTGAACCTGCAGCAGAGGCACATGCCTGAGCTCCCAGCCAGGGTGAGGGTGTATTCCTTTAAGTAAGAAAAACAATATCCAAAACTCCAAGCAAGAAAGATTACCCACTGCTCAGGCAGTATTTCAGGTGGAAGTGGGTTAATAAAGAAATGTAATTTATTATTAAGTGCCTTATCATGTGTAAACTTTATCTTCACAATTTAATAAGGAGGAGTCACTGTTACAGCCACGTATGGCTGATGAAACAATGGCATGGAAGGTACAATAACTTACTCAAGACTAGTAAGTGGCAGAGCCAGTGTTTGACACCTAATCTTTCTGACCCTGATTCCTATGCTATTTCCACCCCCTTTCCCGTGGCAAATTGATTTTTGATTGCACACTAATTTGAGTGGGCTCAGGGTGGGACCTGGCTTATTGTCACTGAAGTTAGGAGAGGCTGACAGAAAATGTGGACTGGAGCAGTGTACCAGAGGGACCAGAATCATGTGGTAGCTGTGGCTATGTGCCTTCTGCTGCAATGCAGTTTGCATGGGAAGCCAGAGGGGGGCAGAGTCAGAGCAGGAAGGATGGGCAACCTTGAAGTTGAGGTACCCTTGACCTGTGACAACTCCATTATAAAACGTGCCTATCAGGTAGGACAGAAACTTCGTGCCAGCTCATCACAGCACCCTCCTCTCTACCCCAGTCCTATGTAGACATCCACTCACTTCTTAACAAATTCCTTGTTCACAGTTGTCTGGGTTACAGCTCTTTAGATATCTTTTCATCCTGAGCCTAGATGGTCATTACCTGAAGTGCACTGAGTACTTGGAAAGGAAGTTTGCAAACATCCCTTGTAGAGTAGCATTCGGCAAATGGTTAAGCTATTCATTTTATGTGAGTGTATTGATTCATTTCATCCTAAAAAAACAGCCTCCAAAATGTGAAAGTATCTTACACTAGGCTGAATATGCTGAATACAAGTATCAGCAGCAATAAAATTTAAGTGGCCTCTTCTATCTAAATTAAACAGGAAAATAGCCTGTGTGATTATAATGCAGATGAACCAACTGTGCTATTTGGCATGGATCTTCACTGAGGCACCGAGCAGTGTTCTGAATTATATTGCATTTCTTTGATTTTTTAAAAAAAATAAATGTAATTGAAGAGCCAACATGATTGCTGTTCACTGCTTCCTTTTGGCAGTATTTTTCAGCAATAATCCAGGCCTGAATGTCACAGTTTTCAGGAATGTTATGCTAATCCACAGTGACTGTGGGTGAATGAGAGTGCACCAAACAAGAAGCCTAAGGGCCCAGAAGCATTTATGAATATAAAGTAGAAACAACTCTTAATGGTCTCAGTGAGGATGGCCAAGTGTTTTAAATAATCAAGGCTTGAAAGATATTCTCACTTTGTTACTAGCGGCCATGTTTCACAGAACCCTGCCCTGCCTCTAATAATAATAATAATAATAATAATAATAATAATAATAATAGCTAAGACTTATTGTTTGGTATATGTGAGATACTGTGTTAAGCACGTTCTGTGAATTCTTTTGCATTTTCAGAACAGGCCAATGAAATTGGCGTTCTTATTAGTGTCAGTTTTATAAAACTTTGTAAAAGATTTAGGGAGAATGATAATTTTCTTAAAATCACACCCAAAGGAATTGGGAGAGCCAGAATTTGAACCCACACTTCAAGGTGCATGTGCTTACCAACACTGCATCATATTAAACTTTCATACCTTATTAAATGCATAAGAGGTGTCTGAGATTCTCTTGTGGGCGGTCAAGAGATAATCTAGGAGAGAGAAGGAAAAGTTGAGTTACCCTACTATACATAAAAGAATTTAGACATTTTTTGGCGATGTCTTTACTGTGATTCTATTAGCATTCATGTTATTATAAGACTTCATATTTTATAAATTGAAAGAAAACTGATCTGGGATGATCAGATGCATTCTCTCTCTCTCTCTCTCTCTCTCTCTCTCTCTCTCTCTCTCTTTCTTTTTCTCTCTCTAACTAGAAAAATAGTTATGATTAAGTATGGAAGGACACATTAAAGATAGAAAATGATAAATGAGAATATTGGGAGGATTTAAGATAAAATGTATATAAGTGTGAACTGGAAAATTTGTATTATGATTAAAAGAACATTTAAGTATATATGCATTCACTTATCCAGTAGCTCTAATTGAGTACTTAGTATTTAATAGGAAAGGGGAGTAAACCAATACAGAGCCATGATCTTCGCCCTCGAGAAGCTCACAGATTAGTTGGAGTGAGATTTTCAAGGGAAAATGTGTAATATACTCTGCAAATACAGGTTTTATGGGATCTTCAAAGAGAGGGTCTGCATCCTGACTAAAGAAATCAGGGAAGGCTTTGCAGAAAAGGTAATGATAGGTTTAATACATTAAATAGAGATTTGCTTGCTAAATAATGAGGAGGAAAATCCTTGGGGAGGAAGTCACAGATCTGGAAAGAGTGTGGAATGTTGGGAAATTAAGAACGGCTTGCTAAATGGAAAGCTAAGTATTCTTAGGGAGAGTGGTGGTTGATGAGCCTGGGTAGACAAGTAGGGATCGAGACTAAGAAACTTTCTGTGACATGCCAGCATTTTGATTTAATTATGGGGAGAAAAATGTAGACAAGATAATAAGAAGATCCAGTATTTGTCCCGGGTTCGATTCCAGTCAAGGGTATGTACCTCGGTTGCGGGCACATCCCCAGTAGGGGGCGTGCAAGAGGCTGCTGATCGATGATTCTCTCTCATCAATGTTTCTAACTCTCAATCCCTCTCTCTTCCTCTCTGTAAAAAATCAATAAAATATATTTTTAAAAAAAACAAGATCCAGTATTCAAGTGAAAATTATCTTTCTGACGGCAGAATGAATAGCAATGTTTTGAAGATGTGATTGATTGATTGATTTTTTTCAGCTGTAACATATTGCCTCAAACTTAGTGGTTTAAAAAAAAAAAAAGGAACTTAACAGTTTTGGAGGTCAGGAGCCCTAAAATCAAAGTGCTGGCAGGACTGAGCTCCATCCGGAGGCTAAAGGAGAGAATTAGTTCCTTTTCCAGTTTCTAGAGGCTGCTTGCTTAGTTTACTCGGACCCCTCTATCTTACTATCTTCAAAGCTGGCAGTGTAACAGCTTCATGGACTCTTCAAATAGCTCCCTCCCCCTCCTTTTTCCTGACCCCTGCATTTTCTCTTAAAAAGAGTTAAAGTTACTAACAAGATACAGGCTAGAAAGTTTCATTCATTTATACATTCAATACAAAGCTTATGAAAAAAATAACTATTCTGAAGAAAAAAGAGAGGTCTTGGTTCCTATGTTTTTCTTTTAAAGACTTTGCTACTTTGTGTTGGGAAGAAGGATGGCATAGTGGTAATGGTGCGGCCCTGGAGTTAGACAGTGTAGGTCTGAGTTCTGGCTCCCTTGTTTTCCATGACCCTTGGGCAAGTCACGTGCTCTGTAAGCTTCCACCATCCTCAGCCATACGTGGGCATGGCAGTGGCAATTACTTCCTTGTGTCATTGTAGATATTGAATGAAACAACATGTGTAAAGCACTTAGCTCATTGAATGGCATGTAGCGAGCAGTCAACTAACATTAGCTGTCATCATCCTCATAATTATTATTTTAAACTATTCCCCTGCTACTGTCAAAAGAACAGAGTAGTTCTGTATGTCATATGTTAACTACAATAAAGTTGGTTGCAGAACAATATGTACAGCAATGTCCTGTTTTTATAAAAGAAAAATACAAACCTGCATGTGTATTTTGAAAGGTCCGAAAGGATTCATACGATCCAGCGTTTAATAATACTTACATCGGGGCAATTGGGAAGACTTTTAGGCCTTGTGAACATTTTTATTTTTGTGATTTTTTAAAACACAATTGATAAAGAGAAAAATCACTCCATCATAACCCTGCTGAGGGGAGAGTCCTAAGGTGTCTAAATGTATAGAGAGAAGGTTCATTCCACCCAGACAGGCTCTCCCCCAGTGAACGCAATGTGAAGGAGGGGTGGGGGTCAGTGGGAGGGGCCTGGGCAAAGGGCACAGAGAGGGGAAGGATGGAGACACCTGGAGGATGTGAATTGACCCATTTTCCCATTTGGTTGGAGCCAGGTTGTGTGGAAGAATGGTGGGAAACAGGACCGAGTTTGGTGCTCTCAATGCAAAGCCACGTGTTCTCACTGTGGTAGGGACATGTGAGGCATCAGCTGGGAGGGTTGGGACAGGGAGCAGGAAGTCCTGGCAGGCTCTCCTCAGGTCAGCCGGGCCTGCAGCCGCTGTCTGAATCAGGGGCGGGCAGGAGAAATGGGTGGTCCAGGCATCCAAAGGGAAGAAGACTTTGGCAGTTTTGTGGTGACGGTTGGAAGTAGAAAGCGAAGGAGAAGGTAAGAATGGCAGGCTTTAAACCTGGTGACAACATTAGGGAATAACATTGCAGGAGGGAAGGTAGGCGGAGGCGGGAGATGCTTTGTTGGACACACTGTTTATTTCAAAGTATGGATGGAACATTTAGCTGGACACGACTTGGAGTTCTGCAGAAAGACTGGGAACAGATATGAGCTGGCAGCCTCAACATGACGGTTGAAGAGTCAGGACTAGATGGAATGACTTTGGTCTTGTGAACATTTTTATTTTTGTGATTTTTTAAAACACAATTGATAAAGTTTCAATTTCCATCTCCCTGGACAGTCTTTAACCAATTCTATAGTCACATAATAATGAATGTAATTATATTATATATTTGTATAGTCTATTACAGTTTATAAAGTACTTTCACACTGATGTCATCATTGTTACATCTCATCCATTTAATGGGTCAAATGGATCAGAAAACCAAGACCCGGAGATTTTAAGTGACTTAGTCAAGATCACAGAGATGATCATGCCACACAGATGGCAGACTTGGATCTTAAACCAGAACTTTTTCCCAATTAATTGCAGTTTTTACCATAACAGTACAGCCTTTCTTATAGAAAAAAAAAAAATACCTAAAATAGTCTATAATCTTAAAAAGCTAAAACTCCATTTCTAAAAAGGAAAAGTTTGAAACTCACCTTTTTTGAAACCTGCCTGATAAGTTGTGTTTTTGTTTTGTTTTGTTTTAATCTTTATTGCCAGGGAGTTAACAGATGTTGCTATCCCTAACAGCTGTTATCTTTATGTTGAAAATCAGATTTTCGGAGTCTCAGTTTACTGAGTAAATGAAGGTCTTCTAATTTTGTTTAATTTTTATCCCTTGAAGATGTAGCCATAGCTGTCACATACAATCAGGATGGGTCATATAGCATGAAGGTAAGTCTTACTGGTTCTGTTCTACATCTGATCTCCCTCGTACTGAGAATGGCCTTTTTATGCTCTCCGGTTTCTCTTAAGCCACTGACTGTTCTGTCTATACTTAGGAGAATGTCATGTGCTTTTATTTCAGACCAGTTTGAGGAAACTGCCCCCTATACATTTTCTGATTTTGTACTCAGTTCGGCTGTGATTCAAATGTTGGCAAAAAATAATAGCTTTGAGTCAGCCACTGAAGTGTGTGGATGGATACATTTATATTAAACCAGCAGCTCTCAAACGTTTTGGTCTCAAGACCCCTGTATATTCTTAAAAATCACTGAAACACCCTAAAGAGCTTTGTTTGTATTCTTGACATCTATTAATTTTTACTGTGTGGAAAATTAAACTGAGGACATGTTTAATTATTTTGATGGATATTTTTAAGTTTAAGTAACAAAATTTACCATTTTAATCATTTTTAAGTGTACAGTTCAGTGGCATTACATTCACGTTGTTGTATAACCATCGCCACCATCTATCCATAGAAACTTTCTCCTCTTGCAAAATTCAAACGCTATACCCATTAAGCATGAGCATCATACTCCTTCCTTCCCCCAGCCCCTGGCAACTTCCATTCTGCTTCCTGTCTCTGTGAATTTGGCTGCCAGGTGACTCATAAGTGAAACCATTCAGCATTTGTCCTTTTGTGAACTGGCTTATTTCACTTAGCATAATGTCTTGAAGATTCTCCCATGTTGTATCTTGTGTCCAAATTTCCTTCCTTGTTAAGGCTGACTAATATTTTGTTGACTGTATATACCACTTTTGTTTTATTCATTCATCCATTGGTGGGTACTTGGGTTGCTTCCACCTTTAGGCTATTATGAATAATGCTACTACAAACATACTAGTAGGTATATAAGTATCTCTTCAAGACCCTGTTTTCAATTTTCTTGGGCATATACCCAGAAGTAGAAATGCTGGATCATAAATATGATAGTTCTATTTTAAAAAAATTTTTAGGAACTACCATACTGTTTTCCATAGTGGCTGCACCATTTAACATTCCCACCAACAGTGCACAAGGGTTCCAGTTTCTCCACATTCTTGTCAACTTTTTTTTTCTTCTTTTTATAAAGCCATCCTAATGGGTGTAAAGTAGCATTTCATTATGGTTTTGATTTGCATTTATCTGATGGATGATGATGTTGAACATCTTCATGTGCTAATTGGCCATTTGTCTATCTTCTTTGGAGAAATGTCTATTCAAGTCCTTTGCCCATTTTAAAAAAAATCAAATTGTATTTTTTTTTTATTGTTGAGCTGTAGGATAAATTTAGACAAGTTTAGAACCTAAGATTACACAAGCACACATTCCATTGCCACAGAGTGATAACATTATCTCATGTCCTGCAGCTCTGAAAATTCTGTGCACTTATGAGAGAATGTGGGCTAAAAAGGGCAAATTACCTTAGTATTATTATGAAATAGTTTGGTTTCATGGACCCCCAGGAAACCACCCCAAGTGATCCACAGGTCATTCTTTGAGAATCCTTAGTCAAAATTTTTATACTAGCCCTCAAGTAAAAGAAGTCCATTGCATTTGCAAAATGGAACATTGAAAGAGTTAAACAACAATGTGAGAACTCAAGCAAATTTCTATAGTAAGATACAAATTCAGAGAATTTAATAAGTCATTATTATTAAGACCTGCAAAATGGGTTTATTAATGACTAGAGGCCTGGTGCACAAAATTTGTGCATGGGGGGGGGCGGTTTGTCCCTCAGCCTGGCCTGCACCCTCTCACAATCTGGGACCCTTTGGGGATATCTGACTGCTGGTTTAGGCTCGATTCTGAACTGGCAGTTGGACACCACGCTCGCAATCCAGGACCGCTGGCTCCTAACTGCTCGCCTGCCTGATTGCCCCTAACTGCTCACCTGCCTGCCTGATCGCACCGAACTGCCTCTGCCTCAGCCCCCGCTACAGCAGTTTCATCCGGAAGGGAGTCCAGAATGATATCTGGAAGGTTGTTCGGCTGTCAGGTCTAATTAGCATATTGTGCTTTTATTATTATAGATAAGCTTTTGATTGCCCAACACTTGGAGAAACACATTGGTTTTCTTTCTATCAGTCAGAAAAATTATGGGAAGTCTACCTCGCTTAATTATAAGAGTTGTAATTCATATTGGTACTTTTTTTTCCTTTAAAATTTTTGAATTACATTTGACATACAGTTTCATATGAGTTTTAGGTGTATAACAAAGTGATCAGATTTTTATGTAACTTACAATATAAAGTAATCACCCTGATAAGTCTAGTACCCCTCTGACACCATATAGAATTTGTGCATTTGGGGGGTCCCTCAGCCCGGCCTGCACCCTCTCAGAATCCAGGAGCCCTCGGGGGATGTCCCACTGCTAGCTGAGGCCCAGTGCCCTGTTTATACCATCAGTCAGACATCCTTAGCACTGACAAGGAGGGAAAGGCCCCCGCCACTGCTGCTGTTCGTGCCAGCCAGGAGCCTGGCTTCTGACTGAGTTGAGTGTCTGCCCCCTGGTGGTTAGTGCACATCATAACAACCGGCCGTTCCACCATTTGGTCAATTCGTGTATTACCCTTTTATTATATAGGATTATTGACTATAATCCCTGTGCTATACTCTACATCCCTGTGACTCTTCATCCTCCTTTTTAAATAACCAGTTTCCTAAAGCTATCTGGGGAGTGTTTGTGCCATTCAATATGTCAAAATTAAGAATTTTCTAAGCCAAAACCGGTTTGGCTCAGTGGTAGAGCATCAGTCTGTGGACTGAAAGTCCCTTCCGGTCAAGGGCATGTACATTGGTTGCGGGCACATCCCCGGTAGGGGTTGTACAAGAGGCAGCTGGTCGATGTTTCTCTCTCATCGACGTTTCTAGCTCTCTATCTCTCTCCCTTCCTCTCTGTAAAAAATCAATAAAATATATTTTTTTTAAAAAAGAATTTTCTAAGTATTTTAAGTGTTATATAATAAATTTTGTATAATACTGATTTGGAGACCCCTTTTTGTCCCTTGACAAATGGCAAATTGGCAGATTTGTTCTAATCTGCTTATGGAACTACATTCACAAATTTACAATGTGCTATTGAAAATCTTTAAACAAAACTGTTCCCAATCTAACCTTTATGTCCTGAGAATTTTACCAAGTTTCAAATGGCTGTTTGAGGGGGTTACAAAGCATATTTAATTTAGGATAGATGAAAGCAGTGTATAAATACTGCAGTATAACCTATTTCACCTTAGCCTACATAATATATTTGAAAAGAGTAGCCATGGGATTTTGACACTAACATCATGGGAATTGAGATGAAAAATAAAGACAGAAGATTTTCTGTATGTAAGGGAAATTTTATTTGAGTATATATGAGAGAAAACATTCTTTAAAACAGAATGGTTTTATGTCCTTTTGCCAGCTACCTTGAAAGATTTAAGTATAAAATTTGTTCTTTGGAACTCTCTCTTAGAGAAAATTGTGGTCAATATCCAGCTAACTTATCTTCTTAAATCATAACTGAAACCCATAAATAGGATCTACATGCTGGTGAGATAAAAGGAATACCATCTAATTATGTGGTTCTGGCTTTTTTCACCACTGACTTGGGCACAGTAAAACTAAACTTGACTTTGGATACTCAGAAATGAATGCAAACATGTAATACATATATATTTACCCAACAAAATTTTAATACCGTATTTTTCGGACCATAAGATGCTCCGGACCATAAGACGCACCAGTTTTTAGAGAAGGGAAATGAAGAAAAAAAGATTCTGAAACAAATAGTGTCCTAAAATATTTTATGTGCATTAAAACCCAACATCACAGTCATAAACACATGTAATCAACCCTGTAAAGTAAACAGCAGCATTTAGAACCATTTTAGAGCCGGGCAAGCACACAGAGACCACACAGAGCCGGGCAAGTAAAAAAACTTTTTTTTTAAAGTACTGTATATGTGTAGGCTATATTTAGACCATAAGACGCAGGGACTTTTCCCCCCCACTTCTGGGGGGAAAAAAGTGTGTCTTATGGTCCGAAAAATACGGTAATTTTGCTTAATTTGATTTATACTTCTATTTCACATGTATTGTTATTCTTGCATGAACCTTTATCTGTAGCATTGTGAGTGCTATGAATATGTTATGTAACTATGTTTTCCTCTCATTATCTCACTACTGCTTTTACCTAGAGTATTTTGTTTATGAATCTTAAGGGGAAAGTTTCTACATGACTTAAAAAAAAAAAAAACATTTTACCTGTTACCTTTTGAAACTACTTCTGATTTTATTAATCATGTAGTGTTGTTCGTTTACTTTAAGGATCTTCTCTCTTTTTTTCTCTTTTTTTAGATTGGAGATAAAATTTTTCAAGTACTTGGTGATCTTCAGAGTGAGGGAGACTGTACTTACTTGAAATGTTCTATAAATGGAGTTTCTAGTAAAACTAAGTTAATTATCCTGGAAAACACAATTTACCTATTTTCTGTGGTAAGGTCTCTTCTTTGTAATAACTCTGTTGGTATTGGGAGAAAATTGCTTGGCCAGAGATAAGGGAATTAGAAAGACCCACTTCCTTCGATCTCTTCTGTGTTTCCCTCTCCGCTCTGTTTCTTTGCCCTATTCCCGCCTTCTCTCGTTCTTTTGTTCACACAGATTCTCACTGGTAGACACATACTCGTTTTCTTCCT